ATTAAAGATAATTTTAAACGTGAAAACTGTCCATATTTTGATGTCATGATATGTAAATTAAAAATTGTTATTTTACGGTGATAATCTTGTTTTCTTGTGCCCAATAATGCATAATTTCATTTGATAAGCACGTTTAGATTGAATGGTAATTTATAATCAGTCACAAGAACGTCGAATCTGAATCACTTGAAAAAAACACGGGGGTGCTTAACTTTTTTCCAGGTGTATATAAGTGTGTGTGTGTGTATACTAATAAGCATACAAAATAAGAATTTAACATCAATTGTTAGTGGACAAATGTTGCCAGCAACCACATAACAGTAAAGTGACTCACAACTTTATAGGTATTTTTAACATTCATTTTTATTTCTGTATGTTATATCTTTGTGTTACATTTTAATATGTATTATATATATATATATATTTTAATTTCCCATGAAAATAAAACATGATGATAGATTTAATGCAAGACGTGTGGCTATTTCACAACCCATTTCCAGGTTTACATGTACACTAAAGGGGATTTCATTTTGGGTTTCTGTTGACCTATATAAATCATAAACATGCAGGTATTATGATTAACATTCAACCAATGGGGATGAAATTATTATTAGCTGATGTTCTGCTGTTCTAGCACCTTTTGAAATACAATGTACTTAACAAGTTTCTCCATGTACAATATTAGATGTGCTTATGCATATAATTATTATGTAACTCAACTTTTCCATTTTAGTCCAGCTCTTTTGAATTACTCAACCTTTTTTTTTGTTTTACTATGTTAACTAGTGTACACATGACCTGAAAATCCAGAAAATGTGAACCATTTAACTACTCCATTTCTTATTAAAATTAGGATCAATGCCCAATATGAGTCAAAGAATCAAAATATCATGCCTTTATAATTTGTGGGTGTACAAAGTCACATGAATTTCTTGAAATGCATATAAAATTAGAGCATTTTTCATGAAGTTTGTTACAGCTTCTAGTAATATACTTACCTTGTTAATTCTTCTCAAGTAAGTATCAAAATGTTTTCTCGTTATTTCTGGAATGTATGGAGATGAAGGAATTGGGCCTTGTTCAACAAAAGAGTCCCCCCAGGTCTTTATAAAAAAGTCTAATTCACGCTTGCTTCGTCTTGGATCATTCAGCACAGCTGGAAGATTCTGGCTACTGTTATGGACAGTCCATTTGTCGTAATCATCTACCATAATGGACAGACGCTCACCTTTCTGAAGATTATGATGCTCATTGTCTAATTTCATGCTTGATAATCCATCACTAGGGTATCCTTCTAAGTAAAATTTAAAAAGAAACTGAAGTATTTACAAATATATACATAAATACAAAATATAAAAAATTTAATAAATTAGCATTCCTTAACTAACAACTAGGTACTAACAAAAATAATTACAGCTTGCCTACTTTACTCAAATGTGATGAAAATAAAGAGGAAGTGGATGAGAAGGATGAGTGATAAGAAAGATTCAGAAGAGGTCCATTAAAACTGGGGAAAGAAGATGAGAATGGTCAGGTAAAAGACAGAAAGCCATTGACAAAGCCACTCTGCAACCAGCAATCATAGGAATGGATAGACCTCTCTCGAAAGCTAGGTAAAAAAAGGAAGTGATATGAAGAAGAGTCTCACAACCTGAAGGAAGGAAGTAGTGAATGGATCAGCATTGATAAATCATCCTCTTACAAGAAACTTAACAAAAGCCACATGTGAAGATGAAGACATGAAACATCATGGCAATAGATGGATATCAGAGGCAGATGAGATGGAGGTCCCAGGATTACCAAGATGTGAATGAGTGTAAACCACAGTTATGCTTGCCAAAGATGGATAATGAGAAGATATGGCAAGGAGTGCTGTGAATTAAGGATAGTACTTTAGAAAGAGTTAAAGAAGAAGACAAGCATACAAAAAGTTGGTGGACCAACTGTAACTCAGAGGGAATACCGCTAGGACCCTGAAGTTTCAGGCTGGAGGACAAAAAAGTGGTAGCTTGATGTAATGGATAGTCACAAATGCATTAAAAAGAGAATTCCCAAAATGAGAAAAAGTTCACATAAACATTAAGAGATGTAAGGAAAACTGTCTGAAAGACTCGGGATAGGCAAGACAGCCAATCCACTATTAAATTCAAAGCTCCCATAACATGTGCATCCAACAAATGGTTGTTGTTGGGAGACCAAAAGTGGAGCTCCAGAACAAGAAAGAGATCCTGATAATGAGTATCTACTTGTTAGGTGATGTAAGAATTTACATTGGAGTTATTGAAATAGCTCAGAATAGCTTTCCAAACAGTTTTAAGAAGAGAAGAAGAAAAAAATGGTGTCAGGCCCATTGAACTTTCTACATCTCAAGGACATTTATGTGGAAAGACCACTCCACCTAAGACCAAACACTGAAAATATCCAAAACCACACACCACTCAACTAAAGAGGCATTTTTAATAGAGGGGAGGAGCAGAGAAAGACAGATGGTAAGAGTAGTGTAGAAATGTACAAACCACCACAACAGTGAGAGGTGGAGGTACAGAAAAGAGAGAAGACAATGGATCACAAGGTATATTACACTGATCTCCTAGAATCCAGTGAAGAATGCACAAAAGGACACATCCACAGGAAGAAGAGATACAAGAAAGGCAAGACTTCACGTGAGAAACAAAATATAGGAAGAAAAGAGACACGAGAGCCTTGGAAATCAGAGCTTCATATCTCAGTAATGGAGAAGGTTGAGTCCACTCAGCAAATAAAGTGATAAAGACTCTCCAAAGTCCTAAATGAATCATATACTGATTAGAAGTCAGTAATGACTTAAGCACTTGACCAGCAAACCCAAACAGGCAGATTCACATAGTAAACAGGTTACAGTATATTATGCTTTCCCAGACAAGGCTAGGAGATGCCAAATATCAATACAGTGGTGGAAATGCAAACCCAATGAGTGCATTCTCAGTGTTTAAAGCCTTTAGGACTTAGTTGAAAAGAGGCAGGTGTTAGCACTAGAAGACAAAGAAAGTTCCTGAGAAAAGACTTGTGACCCAAGGGTTTCGTGCAAAGTGAGTCCACAGGTGGATAAAGTGTAAGAGCCAAGTTCCTATACGACCAAAGCTGAACCTCACAGGACAAGGAACTCCCCAGAAAACTTATGCATGAAGAATGAGGAAGTTGAGGTGAATGCAAGAAGCTCATATGACAATCAGCAGAAACAAACAGAGTAAGAGAACACATGTGACATACCTGAATTAAGAGAGCAGAAAAGGGCAAAGGTGGGTGTTACCTGGTTCTTGTCAGAGAAAGAAGAACCAGAAGCTGTGGCAGGTTGTGGGATGTGTTGGTCAAAGACAAGACAGGCTCAGAAAAAGTAACAGAAACAGGAGAACATGGGTCCTGGGTCCAAAATGAAAAATTGGACCAATCATGTGATATACAATAGCAGAAACACTGTTTATCAACATAGTAACTACAGTCATTATTTAAGGAAAATAAGACAATTTTTATGGAGGAGATTTTGGACCTCTCTAGGTTTCTGAAACCTAAATAATATGAGAAGAAATCATATTCATTAAGATCCATAAAACTGATATCGTGTAAAGTATTAATATTATTTATACATTGATTTTTAAGTAGTTTAATATGTACATAGTACATAGGCTTTACTGAAACCCAAACACCATATCACAGACTCTATAACATGTCTAAAAATTTCAGTTTGATTTAGAGAGGTAATCAAAATAATATAAGAAAATATAATAATTCTTATCAGAAGATCTAACTGAAATAAAATTAATAATTCTTATCTTTTTTTACCAAAATCAAGAAAATTAAAGTTAAAAAACACTTCAAACTTTAACTACAAGTTGAAATTAGTAAGTACAAAAATTCTGCAAATCATAAAGAAAAAAAGAACAAAACAGTGCTGAGGAAAAGAATGTGCTGAAGGAAAGTACTGTGCATGAAAGATGTGTTGCTCTCCTATTGGTGGAGGACTACAGCCTAATGATCATTGCATCATAGACTGGTGCAATACATTTTTTAATATACAGTGGTTGGAGTTTTGCTCAAGGGCTTCCTTCAGTGGCACAAAATATTAGTTATCTGTTGTGTGGATAGGTGAATAGCATTTCTGAAGAGGAAGGTTCCCATCCATACACCACAGAGGAGTCTTGCGATCAGGTAGGATGTAACAACTGATAGTCAACACAAAGCTGATGCAGAAAAGAATCTGCATGGAAAGGACAATCAAGGTGGTGGGGGAGTGAAAAAATAGTGATTTCTAGTTTGGGGACATGTGCAATAAGCTCACCCATGAACCAACAGAGACCAGTGGAATAAAAGAATAAATTTCATGTACCTGAGTTATCAGAGTGGCAAAGGATAAAGGATGGATTAGCTGATCCACATCAGGGATGTAAAAATAAAAAACAAAGAAGGGAAGAGCAGATCAAAATCATCCAAAGACATGGCAGACTCAGCAGAAACTACAGAAGCAGAAGGCTGCAAGTCCTGGGTCCAAGACGAAGAATATATGATAAAACCAACCACGTTATGAAATTATGTACAATGGCAGTAACATCACTCAACATCAGAGTAACTCCAGCTGCAAGTGAAGTAGAATAATAACTCCTTTTCATGCATTTCTGAATCTCAGGAGACTTCAGAAATGTGGTATATTAGAATTCTTATTAAATAATATCTACAAAAACTGAATTGAAATTATTGTTAGGAGTATTTTTTACTGACAAAACTGAGATTATCAGCTTCTGCCTAAACCCTATCATAGGGTTAAAGATCAGGGGCAATATTACTTTCAAGGAAACCATATCTTAGTATCTCGAACATTTCTGCCAAGTCTTGTGATTTGGTTGTGTAAAGAAATAAAATTAATATTAGGAAAATAACAATGCTTATCAGAAGTTTAACTGAAATTATTTTGAATATAAAAGTTAGGTGCAGCACAAAAAATTCTTTGTTTCACAAAAGGCTTAAAAAATAACATCTAAACAGTGTAGTGCCAAGGAAAAATATTAGCTTTTAGTTTACACAAAGTGTTCAGGAGAATATTGCACAAGGAGGTTGTGTCAGCCTCCTATTGATGGAATGATTTAGCTCAATAATGAGTGCATCATATATTGGTACAATACATGTTATTACATGCAGGGGTGAGAGCTCTTTCTAAGGCATAGAACATGTGCAGAAACTTTTCAGCATTAGTACCAAGTAGCTAGATATTTGATCTATGGTGATGAAAGTATAACGTAGTCTGAATATATGATTCTGTGCTATGTTTTAAATACTGCTGAAACAAATGAGAATTTAGAATGCTTCAAAATTAAAATAATATATTTTGCTATAATTATGGCAACTATAATTTATATGTAACTTCATAGGGCATAGAAGCCCCCCTGAAAAGGGCTGTTAATCTGGTAAATCCATAAGATCAACCACTGCGACTTACTAGTCACAACTTATCATCAAAATTCTATAAAATCTCCTAAACTTTAGTAAAACTTCTACTATGCACTATATCAAAACTAAATCGCGTTCACTCAGTCTGCATCTCCCTGCTCCTTCCGTTACGACGACTGCTGATATCATCGGCATGTGAATAGACAATCACACGTGTTTCATACCAACTGCAAAACGATGGTCTCTCCATGGCTTTCCCGGATCGCTTGTGTTGGCATATTCCTTAACTCTGCGGCAATAAAAATTTCTCTCCAAATTCTTATATCTAATCTAAGCCCCATGGCTCCATACAAATTTGTTTGGCACTTAATATCTCTACGTGCAGGGTGAGGAGAAACAAAAGTTTCTGACCACCCCAGTTTGTCTTTCAGGCCAGTAGACCTGAAAGATTTTTAAAACCTAAATTCCTGCCACAAATTTGATTTTGATTTGGAGATGTACAAATCAAGGCACTATGCAGTTTAATACTGAGGGATTCCAATCCATAAGCCTATCAATAAAACTGTAATGATTATCAATGTAGGAAGGTATTGTTGTTAGAATTTGTTATATTATATCTTGTACGTTTATGTAATTATGTTCAATGCAAAATTGTAAAAGATTGTGCAGATCTGGAAATAGTGATTTTGTTTTAGTCAGATGTGGATGGATATCAGTTACTTTCTGTCAGATATTTCTTCATTTATACCACTGTTATATAAGTTATGTTGTAGAACAGAAGCGCTTACAGTCTCACACAAAATAAAATATAGGTTAAATATTTCATGTTGAATGTTCTGTGAAATATCAATTCATGTTGTCAGTTGCATACTTCCA